CTATACGCGGTGTCCTCTACGAACCTGGGAGTGAAATATTCTCCCAAAGTCAAGTTCAGTCAAATTTCGCAATATCAAAGAAGTCGGCCCACGAGGCAAAATTTCAAATTACTCCACCATGTCAATCTTTCACTCCCGAAGAGTGCGATTCTCAACTAAGCCTCATCAAGACTACAAGTACGACCTAGTACATCCTCATCCCAATGACCATACCTCTCGTCGACTTTCTCTGGCCTCAGCTGGTCACCCAACACACGTCCACGCCGATATTCACACCCGACGGAGGAAGTAAAGCGTGGAGCACAAATCTGGGAGATAGCCCTTTGGGATGGACGTTATAGAAATCAGGACAAGTTTACAAGATGATGCAGAAGAGGGATACATTCTCGACGGGCGTGAAATTTTGAATTTTGGCAAGAGTTTTACGAATTGAGCTTTGTGCGCGCCAAGACTTCGCTTGCGAGAGTGTAGCTAACACTATAAACACAAGCAAACGATGGAAGGTGTTGTGATCCGCCCCCTGATGGTGTTCTCTAGTATGGTTTGAGTAGCCTGGGCACCTACTCCACTTGGGAAGGAGCCAACTCAGATCATATTTCGCGCGGAGAAAAGTTGAAAGATGATGGAGGCATGTCTGGGTAACTCAGGGTTTTTTAGACGTGCCCCTGGGTGGGTATTCACGGATGAGAGTTGACTTGGGATGAAGAAAAAGCCGCCATAACTTCGCAGTGGTACTTGCAAATGAAATCCGAGGCATGAGTGCTCCTCTTGAAAATTGAGTTATCTTTTCTGTACTTTTCTTTGATATTGAGTCATAGCTTGAAAGCTGCATACGCAATTAAAATCTAATGCAAAATAATAATTAAAGAGGCTCAGTGATATCTGAAAAGCAGTGGCTAGGAAATGCTACCTTGCGATAATTGAGTGACTGGTTGTTGCTAGATCACTTGGAGTTTGGGATCATTGAAGCCTCGGGGATCCGTATTTAAAGATAGACTTCTTTGTATATGTAAAACTTAGTAGACGGAATATTGTATATTTTTAATTCATATTGCGAAGAGAGTTCGCTATCCTATACAACTTTCAATAAATCCTTGTCCGACTTTGTACACTTGTTCTTCGACATATTTCCTCCTACAAATCCTTGACATTTTCTAACAGGTGCTGGGTACGCTCCGGAAACACATCGAATCGCTTCTCCATGATCACGCATTAGTGACGAGAAGGGCTTCGACATTGACATCGCGAAAGCGATTGTGAATCCACATCAAAGTGAGGTGGTGTTATTCTATCTCGGCTCTACAGACTCTAGTGAGAGCTGGAGGTTAGCGTTGGAAATATTGCGCAATGCAATGGGCGCAATATTTCCAACAGATTATGAGATCAATTTGACTCTAACTAACTGAGTATAGTCGTCTATTTTCTCGTTCGGATTCAATTCTTTCGATTCCGATCCATCTCCGATACGATGTAACAGTCCATCGATCGATCAATTCTGCAGAACCCTCACGTCTACTTTCTTTGTTGATTATCGCCTACCGAAGTCTTTCACACTTTCTCGGCGCAGTTCTCCCTCCATACATTCCCAACTTTTCGCCTATTTATAGCTTCTGTCTGTTGTAGAAGAAGAGTTTTTTGGTCTAGGGATATTCTTCGTTGGAGGAGCCGTGGCACCTTCTCGGCGTCTTTCTCCCTCCAAATCTTCCCGAGTTCTCAACCGTGTGTGCCTTCTTTCTGGTTTAGCAGAAGAGTTTTTTGGTTGAGGGGTACTTTTATTTTGGAGGAGCCGTGATACCCATTTTTCACTCTCAGTTAAGGACTGTCCAAGGTGGTGAATAGAAAAGGAGGCATTATAATTCAACTACTTTGGATTACGGGGTATTTCATGCACACAAATTTTAATGGGATATTTAAGGGTCGACTTATTTTACTTTCTACTTTCACTCAAGCCGACCACAATACCGACTTTCATTAATTATACAGGGAAGCTTTCTTTTTTCTTTCGGATTGGAACATTTACCACTCGACATCACTTACGCAACACTTTTCTTCAAGCTGGCACTTCCAGCACTTGACCTATTTACTTGTTGCCATTTCTCTTCCGCCAATGCCGTTCGAGGCACAATTATACAGCCAGCTGTCCCTTTCTCATCCACCTCTCGGGACCTCTTCCAGTCTCCTCGTCGCCCCTCATTGGGATTTCTTCTTAGACCACTCATATTTAAATGTGTTCCCATCCCGACATAATATTTTCGCGCCACTCATATGTTGCTTGAGTTGGGTCGCTGGATATTATGGTTTCACCTGAGTTGGTCGATCTTGTCGGTCAGGAGGAGTGTTGGAAATGGAGACATGGAGTGTTGTGGACGTACGGACCCACCCTTTCGTCTAGGTTCCCTACACGATCTTATGTGTGTTTAAGAGGTTGAAATAGGTTACATGGAAGCGCTTCGGGCTACATATTGGATATATGAGCGCCTGTATGGCGTGAGCGCAAGGACGTTATTGGGGGGTTTTCTATGACAAGATGGCGTCACATTCGTTTATGCTGTGGCTTAGGCTCTGTGTCGCTTACACCTGTACTTGTAGCGCACATCTACCACACTTTTAGCTGTAATCCGAACATGACACTCTTTTAGTCAACTTCTACTTCCGTTCCATGACAATTGCGCCCATTACATCGCGCGATATTTCCAACAGTTCGTACGCGACACCACTGACAGGTGTTGAGAATAGTCCCCCATAAATCAAACAAGTCTGTTTATATATTTAGCTTAGAACATAAAGCTTAGCTCTTCATTTTTGAAACGAGAATATATGATCATCCATAAATTTGCTCTTTGTCTTCTATCATTGATCTGCGACAACTACTCTTCACTATAGTTTTTAGACTCTTCAATCGCCGGCAAAGACGAATTCTTCACCTTCCAGTGGTGCCGGTGTAATCGCTCAGTATGCTCTGCATATCTGGGAGAGCCGAGAAGAATCGCATCCGAATCGAAGTCGGAAGCAAACACATGCATATCTCCATTTGACGACTTCTCAATCATGCAGCACTCACCATTATCTTCTGAGTCCTCAACCTCGATCTAACCACATTTCGTCTCGCCTCGCCGACCGACAAAGGCGTCACCCCAATTACAAACAGGAGCTTGCCTCAATCATTACTGGCCATCACTAACTACAAATTTACGACGCTACGTATACCCGCAAGGAGGAAATTAAGCCATAATATACAAAGTTGGGGTCTTGGTTTATGGGGGACTGCTGCTCTAATGGGGCTTCACATCTTGAGGAAGGACAGGCGGCTGATATGTGGAGTGAGAGGGGGAACAGGTCTCTGAAGACCATGCTGGGACTGACATTTTCGAGAAGTTTTCGAATTTGGAATTTTTGTGGACGCCAAGACTAAGATTACGGCGAATTAGCCAGGAGGGCCTCTATTTTCGATGAGTCAACGGCACTCCCCAGTGCCCTGGACGGCACAAAAGAAGTTTGGCTAAACTACCATACAGCAATTACGCTCTTTCAAGATTTTCTGAATTTCAGCTCGACCTTCAGGAGGGAGTTGAAAGGAGGCTAGAAAGGCAGATTGTGAATTACCCGAGGTACCCATAAGTCTACAGCGCTCAGCTGGCCAGCCTCTTCGAACGCTTCACAAGGGGCACTATGTCTTCGGATCTAGTCCTAATGTCGGTATTAGGAGAGCCCCGCACCCAGTGAATTTTTGCGATTTTTCCCGGCTGCCATACACCCGTAAATGGCCATCGTTTAGTTGGCTGGAGAGGGGAGATAATGAAGGGCTAAGGTCTCCTCTAAGTGTATGATCGAATGAGGAATTGTGAGGGGTGGTACTGTTTGACGGGAGCTGTATGGGAAGCATAGGAGGGGATATACTACTGATATAGGTATCCTTGGCCTGTAGGCAGAGAGGACCTGCATGTCCTACATAGTCATAGACTCAGATAGGACAATAAAATGAATTAATGGACTCTTCAATCTCCCAACTCGCTTAACCAGGTAATATTACAAACTAGTCTAACAGGTTAAGCTGCCCTACAAAATATTCATTCTATCAACCAGGATCTCATCAAAACTTTAATGTTTCTGAAAGAATGCATCGGGAGATTATCAGAAATACATGAATACATTAATAACTATTGGTAACGGCCATAAGCATAGCTCTTATAGAGCTTGACAAGTAGAAAGCTAGTCTTTCCCAGACAACTGAATACAACGATGACTCAATTTGACATTTGGACCACTCATTTAGTGAGTGCATTCGCTGATACCTTTCGGAACATATGTTCTCGGGACTTTCAACAATCCCTCAACCATTAATATCCACAAAAGTGAAGATAGATACGAACCTTGGCTGCCCTAGTATGTCTATACCACCTTGTATATAGCCAATGCGCGACATGCTATATTACCCTCTTCAGATTATATTCAAAGACATAATAGTGCAGTTTTGATTATATGATTACCGACTAGTCAAGATAGATAAAACAAAAAGTGCCAATATCACAGTTATATTATAATTTATTATCTATTCCTCATTATCAGACTTATCTGTTTCCCACATCTAGTAACACACATCATACTTCTATTTCGGACGAGATCGACCTAGACTTATTTATTTCCTACTATCTTCATAATTGAAGTATTTTTATGTACCGATTCTGGCTGATCTATTCAATCATGCAAACCTTCTCGTAAATTCCCTACGTCTTGTGGTTAGTTGGTCAAGTTTTTCATGTATATTTTTCCACACTTACTCTAACAACGTGGTGACCTGTGTATGTACAGTCATCATCTTATCCTCCGGCAGACACCTCAAAGGTCACACAAACTGTTATTAGTATCAGCATCAGCATCTTCATCCACAACTTCTACAACATTGCTAGATCATCCGCTCTTACCAAAATGTTACTAATCATTATGCTGCTAAAATGATTATGTGTCAGTGATCATTAGTTCTAGTAATCGGAGGTAATCTATCATTCAAAAGATTGTGACTCACATTTCAACTTCATGATTACATCGTCGAAAGCCTTCAGAATCGCATTGTATAGGTTATGCGGACATGGGTCTGTCTCTAACCACAGGGCATTCTTTCTTTCGAACAAGATCTTCTGTAGCGTCGAGGCTAGTCCTTTCAAGCATGCGAATTTTGGTGAGAACACATCAAGCGTATTCGATTTAAAGCTGGCGGTAGAGATAGCTCCCAGCTTGCTGTAATACATATCCACCGCTTCTCCTTTGTACCATTTTCTCAACATGCCGAGATGCGGTGATATTTTCGACCCCCACCCAAATCGTATGCAGACTGATATAAAGACAAAGAAAAATGACTCCAAATCATGTCGATAAGTATTGTAACACCCATTCTTGGTTTCATATGCGTACTGATACAAGAGTCCAACAGCCATAAACTCCATTGTGCCAGTTAACGTTTTCGAGCTTTCGGAACAGTCGTCATCCGTTAGCGATATTGCCAAGTCCAAGTCTATCAACACCCCATGACATCCATCATTGCGTTTCGGATCGGTGAGTATGATATTGTTCATCGAAATATCGCGGTGCAATATCTTAGTCTCCATATACAATGATTGATGACCCTTAATCGCATCTCGTAGGCCGCAGATCAGTTCCATGGGTGTTGTCTTTTCATCAATGGCTCGACCGAAGGGTTTGGCGGCAATGACTGTTTCCCAACGATTCCGATAGATCATTGAGTCGTCTGCCATAATGACATCTGCCTTACTGACTGCAGGAACCGATTCGGCATTATCAACGGCCTGTTCAGCTGGAGCACTTGGATCGTTAGTGACCTGATTGGACACAGCTTCAGCTACGGCTTCCGACAAAGACTCCCCGACATTGCTCGAAATGCAAAGTCTCTTAAGATCAGGCTCCGATACCGTCTGGACTTCAGCATCACTCTCATCTGCATTCCTGGGTCGTTTGCCCAGAGACGAGTTCGAACCCTCGGCGAGACTATAACTACTCTCGGCAGGTAAACTTATTGATACCGATGACGTTTCGGAAGTCGCATCTTGCGTCACAGGATTGGCGTTAGTTGTCGCAGGATTAAGAATGGTTTTCGACACAGGTTTCTTCCGGGTGCTAGTCGACTTTCCATTTTTGCGCACACGCGCCTTTGAGGCATTGTGAAGGGCTTGCCTCGAAATACTCAAGACACACGATCTTTTACTTCTCCGTAATTCTTTGTTGGCTCCACCAGCAACCGACTCGCTTTCACGCTTGACGCCCTTGCTAAACTCGACGTTTCCATCCGGATTCGACGATCCCGATTGTAACGAGTTGCCAGCCGTCGTCATCTTCATCTCTAGAGGATGGATGTCTTTGTTCATCTCTTCCGTAAAAGTAAGCCCACTTCGAAGGTCGCTGATCTTGACGTAGTTCCGCGATCCAATCAGTGTTGCCACTCCCCTCACGTTGCGTGCTCTCATCAAGAGTTCAACTTCAGACAGTCGGCCGACTGCTCTCCACGAGATCTTGACTACAAACTTCGCGTCGGAGGATATGTACACCGTCGTACCGCGAGATACGATTGCCGTTTGTTTGATGAGTGGTTTCGACCGAAGATAGATCTTCTTCGCCTTGTTCGTGTCTGCATCATTGACGGTGATACTAATCCTGCCTTTCTCACGCTGGATGATCGAGTCAAGGCCGTGCTCTTTGTCGCTCATTAACATATATGCCGCAAGGACATAGACTAGCCTCTCAGGGCTATCGCCGACTTCAATGTATTCAGCCGAATACGGTCCCGATCGATCGTAGACCCACAACTGCAGTTGCGTTCCAAACATGAGAAACCCGTGTGCAAATTGCCGCAGTGGCTGGGCCGAAAATATCTCCCGCATGTAGACCGAGAGCTGGAGAAACTTGTCGACCCACTGTGCAGAAGAAAGCTCAGTCAGCTCTCCCAGAACAAGGATATCCCGCCAATCATGAGCTTTGGCAGCCTTTTCTCGACTCTTGATGAAGATATCAATCTGTCGTATTGCTAGTCCTCCGTCGATCTGTCCGGGTCCCGTCGTGTGGAATGCATCGGCTCGAAGGGGAAAGTTGTCCTTACTTTCACAAGATTCATCGGGTTTGTACGGCTCGATGAACTCAGCTTGGACCGCCTTTATCCATTGCCAGACATTCTTCTCTGTTGGGTCTTTGGGAAACTTGAACGTCGATTTGTCTGGCCTATTCTCGTAGCGCTTTGCGATCTCCTTACACTGGCCTGCCCATGTTGTCCCTTCAAAATACTTCGCATAAAACCCACCGACATTTTCGAAAATGGTACCGGCCAGCTCAGTACGAAGCGCTCCTTTCAAAGTATCCATGATCTGGTCGGCTCCTTCGTATGGGGCCGTACACCGCCTGTGACGCGCATCACCTTGTTTTGCCGAAGGAACATTCGTCTCAGGCGATTGCATAGGCTCGTGGGTGTCGACAAGTTCGGTCACATCATTCCAAACTTCAATATCTGTAGCATTAGATATTATGGAATTGATTAGTGGTATGAAAGAAGTCAGTTGAATGCTATGTAGAGTGAGTCTTTGGGTAATAGAAGTGAGGCGAATATCCATGTCTTCGTTGATGGAGGATGGGACGGCGTTATTTTGAGCATAAAAAGTTAGAGAAGTGAATAGATTTTCTAAAGGTTCAAGTATAGACTGTAAATCAGCATCTTCAGCAAGCGTTCCTTGTGACATGTCGAAATTGTAGAAAGCGCAACACTTTTTAAAGTATGAAATTATCTTTGTCAATGGATTCGCTGTGAAATGCGCAGTGTTATCGATAAATTTTGACATTTTGTTGTTAGATACTGAATGTATATCGAACTTGAGGAGGACGAAAATGAAGTCGAGGTAAGAGTCAGAAAAATGCGCGAAGTATCTGTTGATGATCGATGAACAGAGGCAGGTGTTGTTATTTTATACCTAGAGATTTCATATCCTGTCAAAGGTACCAGGATATTACTTCTCAATTGGCGGTCTAACGAGACGCACTTTCAAAATAGCTCCGTCTCAGAAATTGATGATGCAGATCCTGATAACGCCTGTGGTGGATCTTTCTGTCGGCACGGCACATGGATGGCACGGCCGCTGAAATGATCCCTACCCGCAACTAGGGTTTTCTTCCTTGGCAAAAAGTTCAGCTTCCCACGACCACTCGATTCAGCGGCACGGCTGTAATATCAGAACCATAAACTAGTGTTTGGAATACTGCTGTCGAATTGATGCGCAGGGCGAAATGAATGTCTATTTACGTGGTTGTCGCGCGGCAATGAGCGACAATAGGATGACAGATGTGGACTACATGATTCACTTCAACGATTGGTAGGCAGCGTCCAGAATGTAGATAAACCTTCATGGTTGAACTTTCGTGACATTTACGACAGCAAATCTGATGAGAAATGCAACGAACGAGAACACTTAGAAGCTAGCTTAACAGTTTGAACCAAATGGTGAATGAATGGTAAATGAATGGCTCCGAAGCCTCTGAGCTTGACCTTAGCAGTTAGCTGTCACAAATCGGCGATCTCTTAACCGCTCAATTAATCATCCGATAACCAGGTGTGTTATCCTCCCTCTATCAGACATGATACTATCCGCTGTTTGGTTTAACAGGAATAGAGCAGGCGATTTATATAACATTCTGATCCTTTCAAGTGTAGTGACGCATCCACTATACTTATCGGACTCGTTGGATGGTGCAGTGGTACACCATTCGTGCCTTTCTACCAAGTAGAACTGGGAAGCTTGAACATGTACTCCACTAGAGACAGAAGAAAGCTAGTTCGAAACCAGTAATACCTACACACCACTCTCTTCAGCGGTGATAATGTACTAGTGGGATGATGAAAACACACCCGGATAGCGACAGGTATTTCACGCTTTTCCCTGCGGTGGGTTTGCACGGAAGAGATTATACGTCGTAAGAGTTAAACTCGAGTGGTATTTGTTGTAATAAAATAACAATTGTTATACTAATAAAGACTTCACAAAATTACAATACACACATCCAGTCACATATACACCATCTTTAGTCAACGAGTGATCCAGCTCTGTAGAGCCAATACTAATATCTTCTACTTATGTTTTTTACTCGTGTCCTGTGGGAGCGACTGATCTGTCTTCCCGCCTCCTGTTTAAGATCTGAAAGCCACCATCACGTGACCTTGATCTTCAATAACACAACATGTCATGCAATTTCCTGCCCAACTGGTGACCACTAACAGTCAGGTAAATATGTGACCCATATATTATCCCTTGTAATCATAATGTATATATTAAGTCTCAACAGTATTTGCACATGAAATATGAGTGTAAGTGTTCTAAATGTCAAGTTGAGTCATCCCACTTAAAGCAAATATCTTCCGATAAAAACTTGTAAGGGCCTCAAGGCGCCAAATAAGGAGAAAGAATGATATATATTATTATATAAATAATGACCCCTCATTCATTGAGGTTGTTTAGCGCATTGATTCTAATAACTACTGGAGTGGAACTCAGTACAGAATTTGTAGTCCCGTGTGTATCAACAATGTGGCCTACTTGATAGCCCCAGATATTCTAGATTCCAACATACATATACTTATCGAACTTGGCACGAGTTACGTCATATTGTCCTTGGTACAGCATTTACTCTGTTCTCATTCGCAATGTACACCATGAAATTCCAGCTCGCGTCCAAGAACTTCCCAGTCTCAGATTGATTAGCTTACAATTTGACTTCTGGGGATAAGAAATTGGGCATTGTTGACAAACTTCAAACTTCAAACAAGTTCCTTTCATCAACTAATTGAATCAATACTCAACGTGAAGATCATGAATAGGAGGTAGTGGATAGCATTATCGTATGGCACCATCAATCATGAAACGACACTTAAAACCACACAATCATTGTTTAGTGAGTGACACCTCGAAACGGAATAGCTTGTAGCTTATAAATGGTCAGATTAAGGTTACTTGATCTATGAGTCTGAAGATTTCGACACTACTCGATGTATTATAAATTGATGAGAAATTACAGGTAAATTACATCAGGATATGACTAGGGTCTAAGCAATATTATCACACAAATCGGGATCCAGTCTATCGGATTCAGTCCCTTTTTGTATCAATAGAAAATCATCGAAGTTGACAAGTGAAGATCTTAACGTGATTATCCGTCTAAGAACTTGAATTACACTTTGAAGACACATTTCTTTCGGGCAAAAAAAGGCGTTTCTCGTAATGCAAATACAGATCAACAAAGGTTATGATTACTACATATCATGAAAGAGATCGAGTCATGGATGCAATACTGAGTGTCTTGTGATTGTAGCATTTTCAATATAGTTGAATGGTTGAGGTTGTATCAAAGAGGGATAGATAGAGAATTACAGATAAAAAAGATTAGGTCTAAAGCGGTAGTCATGGTAAATTCAAAGCACATTTCCACCAAGTTAACTTATTGAGAGCCAGCAAAGACGAATTCTTCACCTTCCAGTGGTGCCGGTGTAATCGCTCAGTATGCTCTGCATATCTGGGAGGGCCGAGAAGAATCGCATCCGAATCGAAGTCGGAAGCAAACACATGCATATCTCCATTCGACGACTTCTCAATCATGCAGCACTCACCATTAACTTCTGAGTCCTCAACCTCGATCTAACCACATTTCGTCTCGCCACAACGACCGACAAAGGCGTCACCCCAATTGCAAACAGGAGCTTGCCTCAATCATTACTGGCCATCACTAACTACAAATTTACGACGCTACGTATACCCGCAAGGAAGAAATTAAGCCATAATATACAAAGTTGGGGTCTTGGTTTATGGGGGACTGCTGCTCTAATGGGGCTTCACGTCTTGAGGATGGACAGGCGGCTGATATGTGGAGTGAGAGGGGGAACAGGTCTCTGAAGACCATGCTGGGACTGACATTTTCGAGAAGTTTTCGAATTTGGAATTTTTGTGGACGCCAAGACTAAGATTACGGCGAACTAGCCAGGAGGGCCTCTATTTTCGATGAGTCAACGGCACTCCCCAGTGCCCTGGACATCACAAAAGAAGTTTGGCTAAGCTACCATACAGCAATTACGCTCTGTCAAGAATTTTTTTACATTTCAGCATGACCTTCGGGAAGGAGTTGTAAGGAGGCTAGAAAGGCAGAGGGTTAATTTCCCGAGGTACCCATAAGTCTACAGTGCCCAGCTGGCCAGCCTCTTCGAACGCTTCACAAGGGGCACTATGTCTTCGGATCTAGTCCTAATGTCGGTATTAGGAGAGCCCCGCACCCAGTGAATTTTTGCGATTTTTCCCGGCTGCTATACACCCGCAAATGGCCATCGTTTAGTTGGCTGGAGAGGGGAGATAATGAAGGGCTAAGGGCTAAGGGCTCCTCTAAGTGTATGATCGAATGAGGAATTGTGAGGGGTGGTACTGTTGGAGGGGAGCTGTTTGGGAAGCACAGGAGGGGATATACTACTGGTATAGGTATCCTTGGCCTGTAGGCACAGAGGACTTGCATGTCCTACATAGTCATAGACTTAGACAGGACAATAAAATGAATTAATAATAATAACACCACTCCGAAACTATGGCGGCTTTTTCTTCACCCAAAGTCAACTCTCGTTCGTGGATAGCAACCCGGAGAAACGTCTCACAACCCCCGAATTGTCCTGGAACTCCCTCATCATACATTGAACTTTCTCCGCGCGAAATGTAGTCTAAGGCGTCTCATTCCCGCGAGGATAAGATGTCCAGCCTACTCAAATCATACCAGAGAACACCACCATAAGGCGGACCACGACACCTTCCATCGTTGTCTTGTTTTTATAGCGTCCGCTGCACTCTCACAAGCGGAGTTCTGGCATGCACAAAGCTCCATTCGTAAAATTACTTGCCAAAATTCAATATTTCACGCCCATCGAGACTGTATTCATTATCTGCATCATCTTGTGGACTTGTCCTCATACCTCCCATGCCCATCCCAAAGATATGTCTCCCAAATTTGTAGGGGACACCGGGTACAAGTAGGCAGTCTTGCCCTCAATAACATGCGCTCAGAAACTTGATTTGGATGTTGCTTTATCCAAATTTTAGATAGATAGCAGTTCCATAGCATCAAGATATTATATCATGGATAATCATGAACGCCCAGCTCTACGCAACGATAGTTCCAATTACTCACAAGAGTACTCCCATAACTTTAAGTGAACTAATAGATTTTCAATTTTTGATATTTTCGATACCAGCAATCCTGATCTATTTTGTTCATATTCTTATATCTGTCCCTGATAGGTGCAGCCTCATTGTGACGGAAAACGAGTTGGTGATGAATAAATCGCTTTAATAAACTATATGAGGACAAAAGCTAACTCTCGCTACTACTAACAGGTATTTATAGGAGTTAATCCTCCTCGTGAATCTACATACTAGTGACTTGTCCTTAGGCACAATACTTCTTACCCAGCCACGTATTTCCAGGTGTCACTAAGTTGTAATAACGCTTCAGCCTCCTGAGTAGTAGTCCCGTTTCTTTCAGCTTCATCTCCCCCTCATGCAGCCTCATAGTAAGAATTCTTAGTAACAGGCTTAGGTATCTAACTAAGCTCAAACAACGGTCAAACCGTAACACTCACCCATTCTACAAAGTTCAAAATATTACCAGCTAAAGTTACTCAGTATCTTCTAGACAATTCGATCTGTACCTTATTATGAATTCTTCACGGCCTACAGTAATCTGTTTTTTACATTTCTGAAAACGCTTGATTGTTCCTTTGCCTACCATGACTGCGTCAGCAAGATATAATAGTCGTTCTTGA